GAAAAATTGATGCTTTTGAACTGTGGTGTTGGAGAAGACTCTTGAGAGTCCCTTGGACTGCAAGGAGATCCAACCAGTCCATCCTAAAGGAGATCAGTCCTGGGTGTTCATTGGAAGGACTGATGTTGAAGCTGAAACTCCAATACTTTGGCCACCTGATGCGAAGAACTGACTCATTTGAAAAGACCCTGATGCTGGGAAAGATTGAAGGTGGGAGGAGAAGGGGACGACAGAGAATGAGATGGTTGGATGGCATCAGCGACTCAATGGACATGAGTTTGAGCAAGCTCCTGGAGTTGGTGATAGACAGGGAGGCCTGGAGTGCTGCAGTCCTTGGGGTCTCAAAGAGTCCAACACGACTGAGCGACTGAACTGAACCAAACCGAGGACCTTGGAGGCTGAGCTCTGCAGTCAGATGAGCAGGGAAGAGTGTTTGCGGCAGAGGCATAGAGAGTGGAAAGTCCAAGATGCCAAGAGACCCTCTGCAGGGAAGAGCAGGGCAGTGGGCAGGCACCCCAGATCTCTGAGGACCCCCTCCTTCCCACAGCTGCCTCTTCACCCTCCTCCAGCCCGCTGTGTGTCCCTTACCTGAGACGTTGCACCTCAGCTGGGCCGTCTCCCCCTCGGGGACCTTGACTGCCTCCTCCAGGTCCTCCTTCTCAATACTGGGAGGAACTGCGAGAAGCAGGGAAGACAGACGCTCACTGACTGGGCTGAACAGCCACGGAGCAGGAAGCCGAGCGCCCACAGTATCTGTCTTCCATTTCCCCATTCCCTCACACCTCTTGCCATGGGGCAGGGGGTCTAAGAAAAATTTGCAGCTGGCTGAGACAAATACCAGTGCCGCTGGGAGAAGGTCCCAATCAGAGGAAGGCAGTTGGGTGGTATTGAAAATCTTTGCCCCCTTTCATCTTGGGTTGGTTCTGGCTGTTTCTGGAAAGATCTATGGCAGCCTCAGAGAAGAGGCTGCTGATGAGGCAAAGAAGAGAAGGCTTGGTTTGTCCCTCCTGTCTGTACCGGGCCCACCCCCAGAGGCTCCCAGGCTGGGAGGAAGGATGGGTGGGCGCCTGTGAGAACCGGGCGGTGACGTACCCAGGACCTCCACGCTGAAGTTCCTCCGCGCCTCCCCAGCCTTGTTGCTGGCCAAGCAGGAGTAGAAGCCTCCGTCCTGCTCCTGCGCCCGGGTCAGCTTCAGCATCCAGCCGCCTGGGAAGTGGGAGAGTGGGCTCCAAGCACAGCTGTGAGCAGCCTTCTGTTCCCAGATGAGCCCAGGCTGCCCACCGGGCAGAGGAGCACGCTGGGCAGTATATTTAGATGTTTGGGTGTCTGCCCCCCACAGCGTTCCACTCCTCAGAGAGGGAAACTGAGACCCGGAGGCTCAGCAGACGGATGGAGCCCTCTGGACATCAGTCCTTGCTGCTGTTTAGTCGCTAAGTCGTGTCCGACTCTTTAGCAATCCCCTGGACTACGGCCCGCAAGGCTCCTCTGTCCATGGGATTTCCCAGGCAAGAGAACTGGAGTGCATTGCCATTTCCTCCTCCGGAGGATCTTCCCAACCCAGGGACCAAGCCCTCATCTCCTGAATTGGCAGGTGAATTCTTTACCACTGCCACCAGGGAAGCCTGGATATTAGACCTACGCCAGCTTCCAGGGTGACTCAGAGGGTAAAGAATCTGCCTGCAATGTGGGAGACCTGGGTTCAATCCCTGGGTTGGGAAGTTCCCCTGGAGGAGGGAATGGCAACCCACTCCAGTATTCTTGCCTGAAGAATTCCCATGGACAGAGGAGCCTGGCGGGCTATAGTCCACGGGATCGCAAAGAGTTGGGCAAAACTGATTGACTAAACACACATAAGCACAGGGTAAACTTGACCCTGTTCTAGTAAGAAGACTCTGTCACCTGGCTGCCCTCTCTCCCGTGGACTGACTAGAGCTGAAAGGACAGCAATGGTTTACGTAATCCTGGCTGAGGTCAGAACCCCATTCTACTCTGATGGACCTGGTGCAAGTCCACCTTCTCCCAAGGACTTCTCAGAGGTGGTTCACTCAGAGGTGAACCAGTTCCTTTCAGAGGAACACAAAGATCTCCTAAGACCAGCCCAAGGAAAGCAGATATACAGCACTTCTCATCACGGCTACTCCTGCACCCAGGGCAGACATCACTAATCGATCACCACGCTCCTTTCTGCTGGACCCAGATGCAGTCTCTGAATTCATCTCATCTGATGAATATTGCAGCCCCTACCAAGTGACAGGAAGTGATACACGAGGGGAAACTTGTTTAACATCCCAGCTTGGACTGCATGGAATAATTGATGGGTCACTGAGGCTGAGCTTCAGTGGGCCTGGAAGTCCCTGCAAGATTCTGATGGGATACTGCCTCCTGAGCCTCAGTTTCCCCATTTGTATTCCAGCAAGAACCTTCACAAACCAGCTTTGTGAAGAATATGAGTATTCAGAGAAGAAAGTGCCTGGACCAATATTTCTAAAAGTTTGCTACAGCTCCATGGGAGGTTATATAAGCTCCATGAGAATTTTTTTTTTTTTTTTGGCTACAGGACTTATCAGAACCTTGACTATGCAAATGGTTCCTGTGGGTCTCCAGGAAAATTGAACAGGAAGCCTTTTCCAGACTTATTTAAATCCTTTTTTTTTTTTTCCTGGAGCACCTCATCTGACCAGTGTTTTGGGGTGCACTCTTGGGAGACTAACAACTGAAATGATTATCCCAACCACTCCGGGCAGGGCAGGATCAGAGATCACAGGCACATGATGGACAGAGGCATAAGCTGAGTATCAGACCTTACCTGCTAAGAGGTAGGTGTTCTCCCCAGGGCTTATGGGCTTCTCCCCGCGGAACCAGCGGACCTCTGGTGGTGGGACGCCCGTGGCTTCACAGAACAGCGACAAGGGGTTGTGCAGGCTGGCTGTGACATTGGTCAGTGGGTCCAGGTCGCCGATGAGCTCTGGGGGCACTAGATACAGAGAAGAAGCCACGGTCAGGGTGCAGATGGGGGCTGTATGCTCTTTGCTGCCTCCGCACCGGCCTCCCCAAGCATTCCCCACCCCCAGTCTCAAAGCTGCTCCCACAGAAGGGGGTGAGTGGTGGCCACAGGCTGGACTCTGGCGTCAGGCTGAGGCCTCAGTTTCCCCGACCCCTCAGAGGACTGTCAGGAGAATCCGACAAGGACATGTGTGAAGCCCTTAGCTCAGACCCTGGTACGGAGCAAAATTGAGCAAAGGAGACAGAAATCAGGGCCAAGGGGAACACAGATGGGACCCCAGGTCAACACAGCAGAGTCCCCTTCAGAAAGGGAGCCCCACTCTATCAGGCAGGGACAGGTGGGCGAGGCCTGGGGTCCCAGCAATGCTGGCACCATGATGAGAAGACCCTCGCTAAAGGACCCCTGCCCACCTCTCTCCTTGTCTATTCTCACTCCCTGCCTCCACCCTGAGGTATGCAGTAGGAGCTCAGTAAAAGGTTAGAATCAGGAGGCTGTTCTCGCTACTCTGCTCCAGGCCTCCACAGAGTCTGTTCCCTCTGCCCAACACTCTTCCTCTCACCCCAGCTCCCGATGAACTCCAACTCAGCCTTTACATTTCACGTTTAAAAGTCGCCTCCTATAGGAAGCCACCCTGACTTCCTAAGACAGATGATGGTCTAGCTGATCTCTTAGGAACGCCCAAATCCCAGCATCACATACAAACCATGCAGGATAAAGTGCCCAGAATAGAGTAGGGAACAGCAAAGGAGAGAGAGAAAGGGGGACTTCCCTGGTGGTCCAGTGACTAAGACTCCGGGCTCCCAATGCAGGGGGGCCCAGGTTCCATCCCTGGTCAGGGAACTAGCTCCTCCCACATGTTGCAACTAAAGATCCAGTGGGTCTAAATTAAGTCCTGGTGCAGCCAAATAAGTAAACAAAACGTTTTTAAGAGGGTGGGGGAGAGGGGAGGCGGATGATTGGAGCCCGTCCTGATTCTGAGAGCAGTGTTCGCAGCATCCCCTGACAGCAGCCTTCGCCAGAGGCCTGGCTCCCGGCAATACAAGGAGATGGCCCCAGGAACACGGAGACAGAGGCTGCCGTGCCCCCTTCCTGCCCTCCTCCCAGAGGCTGCGGGCCCTTACCGAGCACTGAGAGTGAAAACCACCGCTCCGCCCTGCCAGCCTCGTTCTCGGCCACGCAGCTGTAGCGCCCGGCGTGGGCAGGCTGCGCCCGCTCCACGTGCAGACTCTGGCCGTGGTTCTGGAGCCGCAGGCCAGGCTGGGTCCCCACGGGCCACCCGTCCCGCTCCCACGTCACTCTGGGCGCGGGTTTCCCTGTGGCATTGCATTCCAGGCTGGCCTCCTCGTCCTGAATCACGGACACGTCTGCGTAGGGCTCTGCGGAGCCGGCAATCTGCGGGGGAACTGGGGTGGGGAGAAAGCACGTCGTGGGGGCGGGAGGTAAGGGGGCCACTGGGCACCAGCCTCAGGCCAGGCTCTGGGCTCGCCTCCATCTGGCCTGTGTACCCCCTGCCTCTCGCTGGCCGTGTAACCTTAGCCAGGTGAGCTCACCTGCCCAGGCCTCCACTTTACATCTTTATAATCGGATCACCATGGTACCCCAGACCCCTCTCCCAAATCCTGGGAATCATGGGAGGGCCTGCCCTTTGGACAATGAGCTCACAGCATGGTGCTGAAGATTTGTAAGGACTTTTCTTCCTTAAAAACCAGGGGCTTCTAAACAGTTGTTAGGAGTGGTGGTGGGGGTGGGGGATAGTTCCACAGGTGGGATTCTCCCCAAGACGTTGGACAGTAGTTTTCTTGGTTTTATTTTCTAGAATGATTTTTATAAGCCTGAGATATTTAATTTTATCCCCCACAGGATAAGTAGATGGAAACTTTTTTTTCCCATCACATATGGGAATTTCATATTAATTTTACATTTCTTTAGTTTCCAGCTGTTTCAAGCTGTGGTTTCCCTTTTCTCTCTGGGCCACTGAGAGTCTCTTGGCATCAAGCTGCTTGCTCTCTCCTGGTCAGGAGCCATAAGAAGCTGACTTGGAGGGGGCAGTTAAAATAGCAGTAATCTAAAGGAGGACAGGAGAATCCAGCTTCTGTCTTTGCTTGGGTTTTGAGGGGGTGAGGTCTGCTCTGCCAGGGTGCCTGGTTGCCCACCCTTCAGGCTGGCCCCTTCCAGCCCATCCCACCTGGTCCAGGTCATCCCAGGCCGACTCACCGTACACCACCAGCTGCTGGTCCTGGCTGCTATTTCCAGCCACGTTGCTGCACTCACAGGTGTATGTTCCCTCCTGGGCTGGCTGGGCCTGTCCCAGATACAGCAGCCGCCCCACAGTGGACACCTGCCCAAGGCTGACCCCCTCCCCGGGCAGGGGCTGACCTGGATGCATGAGAAAGAAGCCCCTGGTCCCTGATCCTTCCACCTTGAACATCTGTCCTCCCACCCATCCTGGCCAACTCCTGCTCATCCCGCAGATGCCCGCTAAATGTCACCTCCACCAGGAAGACTTCCCTGAGCACCAAATCTGATCGCAGAACCCCCTCTGATAACCCACAACTCTGAGCTTCTCCCCAGCCCAGCTCTACCTACAGGTGGCACATCTGAATCCTGCCCTGGCCTGGGCTGTCCTGGAGGGAAGACCCTGCCTCACTTTCCCCCTGGGGTCCTTGGAGGCTCTCCGGGGCCTGGCATATAATAGGGCTCAGTGAAGGCTATTGAGTGAATGACCCATCTGTCTAGCTACAGTGGTGGCGGAAGGAGACCAAGCAGCAGACACACCTGGCAGCAAGGGGACCCCGGTGCAAGGAAGGGTTTTGTAACCCTGGAGGCACTAACTTCCATCACCCTGCACCTGTTCACGGAGGAGCAGCCCTCCGGGTTCCCATCATCTAGCAGCACGTGTCCTGGCTGGGGAGGGGCCTGGGTGGCAGCACAATAGGCTTCCTCGCTCTTACATTCTATTCTCTGTCCACGCTCTCTCCCCTGGTGATCTCGGCTTGTCTTGTCACTTCCGGATTTATTCTTAGCCTCAGACCTCTCCTCTGAGCTCCAGACTCCTCTGTCTGACTGCCCACTTAACATCTCATTCGGTGTCTAATGGATCTGAAAATTAAAATGCCGCAAACTCCTGGTCTGGCCCCATAAACCTGCCCTCACAGCCTCTCCATCTCAGGGATGGTAGCAACTCTCTCGATTGCCAGGCCAAAACTTTAAGTCATCCTCAACTCCTCATTCTCCTTAGCCTCTCATCGCAGCCTCATCCCCTCATCAGGAAATCCTGGCAGCATCACCTCTGAAATGCATCCAGAAGACTATGGCCCCCTCTCAATACCTCCTGGCTACCCACCTAGTCCGGTGCCAGTTTCTCTTGCCTGGAGTCCTTGCAGAAGCCCCCTCACTGGCCTCCTGCTCCCACCCTTGCTCCCAGTGGTTTGTTCTTATCATGCTGGCAGGAACCTGCTAAGTACAAACCAGATTGTGTCCCTCCTTTTTCTAGACTCCTAAAACAGCCCATCTTACTCAAGGTAAAAGCTGGGACCCTTACAACAGCCTTTGACCCAGCCATCATAGCTCACGTGACCATCTCGAGCTGAATCTGCTGCTGCCCCACTGACCGATCTGTTGTTCTTCAAACAGGCTTGACTCACTCCTGCCCCAGGGCCTTTGCACCTGCTATCACCTCTGCCCAGAATGCTTTTCCCTACAGTCGTCTCATGTTCATTCCTCGCCTTCTTCATGTCTGCTTGGTCAAAGGTCCCTGACCACTCAACTTAAAATTGCAAGCCCCACCCCTCCCCCAGCAATCTTCTCCTCTTTCTTGGCTTATATTATTTTCCATAGCCTTTATTACATCAGGTATTAAGTCATTTACAGGCACACCTCAGAAATAGGAGTTTTAGTTCCAGACTACCGCAATAAAGCAAGTATCGAAATGAAGCGAGTCACATGAATTCTTGGTTCCCTGGTGCATATATGTTGATACTATAGTCTGTTAAGTGTGCAATATTATGTGAAAAGAAAACAATGTACATAGCTTAATTAAAAATATTTTAAAATGCTAACCATCATCTGAACCTTCAACAAGTCATAAACTTTCTTCAATAGAAACATCAGAGATCACTGGTCACAGATCACCATAACAGACTTAATAATAACAATGAAGTCATAAATACTGTGAGCATTATCAGAATGTGACAGAGACCCAAAGTGAGCAAATACTATTGGAAAAATGACACCAGTAGACTTTGGAGGCAGGGGTGCCATAAACCTTCAATTTGTAAAATACATAACGCCTGTGAAACTCTAAACAGTGCATTAAAACAAGGTATCTCTGTACTCGTTTCTTATTTATTATCTGACTGTCTCAATCCACTGCTGCATTTCTAGCACCTAGAATGATGCATGGCACAGACAGGCTCTCAATAAATACTAGTTACATGAATGAATTCCAAATATTCACTGAACATCTGTTTTGTATCAGGCACTGCTAAGCCACTGCTGAGTTCCCAGACAATGCCTCCCGGGGCTCAGGGCTCATGGAGGAGCAGACACTGAAGGACTAAGGTGGGTGACATGACAAGTTAGCACACAGGGGCGGTGTCAAGGAGGCCCCTCTCCCTAGACTGGGGTGGAGGTCAGGGAGGGCTTCCTGGAAGAAGAGACATCTGACAGGAGGCCTGAGATCAGTCTAGCTCTCACTGGCTGAGGAGGGGCTGGAGGGGCGCCGGGGGCTTCTGTAAACAGCGCCTGCACCCATCACCATCTCAGCCAGGGTCTGAAGCAAGGGTAGGGGGCAGCCTCGACGGGTGGGGCAGTGAGCCTGGGGCTCAGCCAGCCTACCGTCCTTCTTCCAGGAGATCTTGGGGAAGGGAACGCCCCGACAGTCGCAGGAGAGCCTGGCAGGGTGCCCCTCGGTCACGGTTAGGATGCGTGGCTCCCACGAGGGGAACACTGGAGGGACTGAGAAAAACGGAGCAGAGGTGAGGAGGGCAGGAAGCTGGGGGCTGGGGTGAAAAAAGAGACCCCCGGGGGAGGGTGCAGCGGGGGAAGGCTGTATCCTGGGACCCATGCAAGGCAGCACCACCCTCCACCCTGGGCTTGAGAGCCAGCCCTGACAGATGCAGGGGGAGGGACCCCAGCCCAGCCCAGCCTGGGAGACCCTCACCCCAGACGTTGAGGTTGAAGTGCTTCTCCGAGCGGCCCACTAGGTTCAGCGCCTCACAGGTGTAGCGGCCCGTATCCCCCACCTCGGCTCTGTCCACCTGGCCGAGAGCAAAAACCACCCATCAGGGGTCTAGCGCAGAGATGGTGTCACATCTGTGTGACCCGGGCCCGTCACTTTCCCTGGCCGAGCCCACGCTCCAACCTGGAACCTAGGGGTTGCTAAGCCAATGGTAACACCCGCTCTACCTCCGGCACCGGGGAGTTTCTGGGAGCCAGGGGCTTGGTGGCCCTGCCAGCCTCACCCCACTTCACATCCACAGCTGTGTCCCAAGGGGGAGGTGGAGGGGGCCCTGTCTCAGGGGTCAGATCCTGACCTGGGAGATAATGGAGCCAGGCTGTGGCTTTGAAGAATGAAAGAGGAAGGAGGGGGCAGTATTCCAGGTGGAGGAAGCCAAACTGAAGTTGCTTGGAGTTAGGAATTATCATATCACCAAGTGTAAAAGGCTGGGGGAAGGAGGAGCCGGCTGGAGTGGGGTGTGCTCCCCAAAAGCTTGGAGCCATGCCCCTCTTCCCCTAGCTGACGTGGATGAGCTGTTCTCTGGGGCAAGTGGGGACCACACAGGCATTCTCTGGAATTCTCCTGGCCAGCCCAGGAGAAAGGTGTCACCGTGCTCATAGGTGAGAGATCTGAGGCCAGAGAGGTCCAGACAGGTGACTACCACAGGCAGGAGGGGTGGCTGAAAGCTAGATGGGCTGACTCTAGATTAACGGGCTGACTCTAATTAACCCTTGCCTTGCCGGGCTGGAGGAAGGGCCTTAAATGCCCAAAGGCAAGAAGGTTTTCCAGCAAGGAGTGAAAAATGGGTGGAAAGCTTTGGGGGAGGGGAGGGGCTGAGGACTGATGCTGAAGCTGAAACTCCAATATGTTGGCCCCCTGATGCGAAGAACTGACTCATTGGAAAAGACCCTGATGTGGGAAAGATTGAAGGTGGGAGGAGAAGGGGATGACAGAGGATGAGATGGTTGGATGGCATCACTGACGTAATGGACATGAGTTTGAGTTGGTGATGGACAGGGAGGCCTGGCGTGCTGTGGTCCATGGGGTTGTAAAGAGTCGGACACGACTGAGCGACTGAACTGAACTGAACTGAAGGGGCTGAGAGAAACTCCTGGGCTCAGTCCTGGGGCTTCACTCTCCATCCTGGTTTGGCTGGAAGTGGCTCTGCTGGGTCTGGGGACTGGATGGGCTGCAAGTCGAGATGAGCTGAACTGATGTTGGAGGGGGTACCCAGCCCACCCGGGTCAGGGCTCAGCTCCGCTCATGGTGGGGCCCTCCTCGGTGGCCTGGGGGGCCGCACACCTCCAGCAAGGCCTTGTCTGTAGAGAGGTGGACGCCAGGCCGGGGCTCCAGGGGGCGGCCGTCTTTGCGCCAGCTCAGCACAGGAGGGGGCACAGCGTAGCTCCAGCACTCCAGGGCCACGGACTCATTGGCCACGACAGACACGTTCCGCTCTTCTCCGAGGATGCTGGGGGGTGCTGCAGGAGGGGGTGGGGCGGGGGCTGTCTCAGACAGGTGAGTCAAGTCACGTCCTGAGTCAGGGCCCCCCATCCAGCAGCCAGGAGCAAACACAGGGGACGGGGAGGTGCTGTGAGGATGGGGGCCACCCCCTGAACTGAAGCCCTCTTGTCTTCCCCTCAACGACCGACACAGGAGACCCCCAAACCTGAACAGGATGGTGGGTTATGACGTCAATATTCTGAATATGATTTTGTATTTTACTTTCATAATTTTTTTAAAAAGAAACTTTAATCTTTATTTATTTAAGGTCTTAGGCCAGGCCACGCACAGCATATGGGATCTTAGTTCCCTGATCAGGGATCAAACCCTTGCCCCCTGCATTGAGAGTGCAGAGTCTTAACCACTGGACCCTCAGGGAAGACCCCTGGTTTTGTACTTTAGTTGTGTCAGATGTTACCACTGAAGAAAGGGCCCACCAGCTCACCTGTCCATGACAGGGGAGTTGACAGTTTAAGACATGGCTCAGGGGGGGGTCCAACGGACCCCTACATGAAGGCAGAGGCAGTCTGCGGACAGACCTGGCACATCCACCCCCTGGGGATGCCCCAGTCCCACCGTCTTGAGCCTCCAGCCTGCACCCGGCAGCCTCCAGGGCCTAAGACTCACTGTGGACATACAGGAAGACATCCCGGCGGTCCTCGCCCACTGCATTCACGGCCACGCAGGAGTAGCTGCCAGAGTCGGAGGCCCGGGCACTGGCCAGCGTGAGGACCCGGCCCCCAGGGAAGACCTGTGCCCCAGAAGAAAGTCCACAGGCGATCAGTCCCCTTCACAAGCTGGCATTGCCGACAAGCGCTCCTGGGCAGCCTGCTCCAGGCCCCCAAAGCCCCCCGGCAGTGCAGGGGAGATGCAAGCTATACCTGGACCTCAGGACCTCTGAGGTCCTGACTGGTGGGCAATCCCATCAGTCCTGAGAAAGGGTCCCCTGGGGAGTAGGACTGGGGCTGGGAGCCCTTGAAATAAGGCCGGTCACCAGGTATAAGATGCATGACAGATTTCAAAGGGTTTGTACCAAAAGGAGAAGGTAAGTTGTCTGGTTAATAATGTTTTATAATGATCACTTGATACAGTGACGCTTTTGGGATATACTGGCTGAACTAAAATGTATTTTTTATGCAGCAGTTTTTAAAATATTCCATTTTTATATAGCCAAAGGGTATTGTGTTTGCTTGTTTCTTTGTTTATTCATTCATTTATTTTGCCTGCACTCTGCAGCTTGCAGGATCTTAGTTCCCTGGCCCGGGATCAAACCCCTGGCCCTTGCAGTGGAAGCACGGAGTCCTAATAATTGGATAGTCAGGAAATGCCCTAAAATGTATTTTTAAAATTGGTTTCACCTGTGTCTTTTTACTGAGTCTAATGCAGTTACTAGAAAATTTTAAACTATATATTTGGTTCCTAACATATATTACATTAACATTACTTTATGTTCAGTTCAGTTCAGTCACTCAGTCGTGTCCGACTCTTTGCGACCCCATGGACTGCAGCACGCCAGGTTTCCCTGTCCATCCTATGCATAATGCAATGTATGTTATGTTACACTACATTATATTATGATTATATCTCATATTGGTGGTGGGCCTTGTTCCTAGAGACCACCTGGCCCCTGACTCCTTTTAGCGGCTCTCCTCCCTCCCTGCAGCCAACCGACCTGCGCCATCACTGTTGCCCTCTCCCCCCCCAGCGTCCCCAGGCCCTGACCTCTGTTCCCAGCACCTACTGAGGCACCAGAGAGGTGAGTTGCCCTCCCACCCCACTGACCTGGAGACCGGTGGTCCCTGCAGTGGACACGGGGTTTCCATCCTTCAGCCACATCAGCAGGGGGCTGGGAGTCCCGGTGGCGTTACAGGTCAGCCGAACCGGGCTGTGGAGCAGCACGGGGCCCGGGAGGCTGGGCGGCAGCGTGATGCGCGGGGGCACTGCAGTGCGAGGGAGACACGGGGCGCTGGCTGAGCCCCGCTGAGGGTGAAGCAGCCAGGGCCCCTGGCCGGGCACGCCCGCAGGAGTGCGTGGCCACTAACGAAAGCTCAGGGACAGCCACTCCCATCACGGGCACGCCCTGGGTCTCGAGGCTGCTCGTTTCATCCCTCCAAACCCACAGATGGGAAACTGAGGCTTAGAGAGGGCCAGTGACCTGCCCAGTGACCTGCTACCAGGAGCTGGCAGGAGCAGCCCTTAAACTTGGGCCTCCTGGTTACCGTGAGGTCATCATCATGCCGATGGTGTAGGGGTCACAGGGGTGACCCCTGTTATGGTGATCAGTGATCTTTGATGTTACTATGACTCACCCAAGGCTCAGATGATAGCAGTTTTTAGCAATAAAGTACTTTTTAATTAAGGTATGTCCATGTTTTAGACATGCTATTGCTTCTGTAACAGACTACAGTACAGTGTATATAGAACTTTTCTAGGCACTGGGAAGCCAAAAAAACTCATGTGACTTGCTTTATTTTGTTATTTGCTTTATTGTGGGGGTCTGGAACCCAACCTGCACTATCTCTGAGTTGTGTCTGTACCCAATAAATGTGGTTGGATAGAAGATGGACAGATGGAGGAATTGATGTCTGAACAGATGAATGGTTGGGGGATGGACAGCTGGATGGTTAGATGGGTGGGTGGGTTAGATGGGCAGAGAATTGAATGGTTGGCTGAATCAATGGATGGACAGTTGGGTGTTTCTATGTGTAGATGGAAGAATGGATAGATGAATGGATGGGTGGATAAATGATAGATGGAAGGAAGGAAAGATAAATGAAAGGAAGCATGGGTGCATAGATGATTGATGGAAGACAGGAAGGATGGATGGATGGATGATGGGTGGAAGGATGGGTGGTGGATGGAAGAAGGGAAGGATGGAAGGAGGGGTGGTGGATGGAAGAAGGGAAGGATGGAAGAATGGGTGGTGGATGGAAGAAGGGAAGGATGGACGGATGAGGGAGGAACAGACAGGGACAAATGGATGGGCAACGACTCTGGGGACAAACCCCTCTGGTCTTGGGCAGCTCACCATTGACCCGCAGGTGGTAGTGCAGCTCCGTGCTGCCGGCCACATTGGATGCCACACAGCGGTAGCTCCCAGCGTCAGAAAGCTGGGCTTGCTCAATGAGAAGAATTCTCCCATCAATTGACACCATCACTCTGTCCCGGGCAGAGACAGGCTGGCGGCCCTTAAACCAGGAGATATCTGGAGAAGAGAAGAGAGAGGCAAGGGTCCCTGCCAGCCTTTCAGAGTGTGCCTGTGTCCTGTGCATCCGAGGGAGGCTTCCAGGGTGCCCATATGGTGCAACTTTATTTCAGGCACTGGAGAAAGGTGAAAGGAAGATGGATGGGAGCAGAATACGGCAGTTGTCTGAGATGGAATTGAAGGCAGAGAGGGACACAGGCTGGAGCAGCCAGGAGCAAGAACAGTCAAAGCCAGCCTGGCCCCTTCACATCTTCCCCCTGCCAGGAGACCACCCACGAGGTAGATCTTTAAAAGAGCGTATAGTGAAAGTGAAAGTGAAAGTGAAGTAGCTCAGTCATGTCCAACTCTTTGCGACCCCGTGGACTGTAGCCTACCAGTCTCGTCCCTTCATGGGATTCTCCAGGCAAGAATACTGGAGTGGGTTGCCATTTTCTTCTCCAGGGGATCTTCCCGACCCAGGAATCAAACCCGGGTCTCCAGCATTGCAGACAGGCTCTTTAACCTCTGAGCCACCAGTGAAGCCCCAAAAGAGAGTATAGTGCACCCCAAAACAGCAGCCTCATCATTATGGATCGGTTATGAATAGATACATGGACCCCAGGTTCTAGCAGCACTATTCACAGTAACTGAGATAAGGAAACGACCTAAATGTCCATCAACAGATGGATGGATAAAGAAGATGTGGTACATGTATACAGTGGAATATTACACAACCACGAAAAAGAACAAAATAATGCCATTTGCAGCAGCATGGATGGAACTAGAGATTGCCATACTAAGTGAAGTAAAGACAAATACCAGAAAGAGACAAAGACCACATGATATCACTTATATGTGGAATCTAAAATATGCTACAAATGAACCTATCCACAAAAGAAAAACAGACTCACAGACACAGAGAACAGATGTGTGGTTGCCCAAGGGGGTGTGGGGGAGGGAGAGGGATGGCTTGGGAGGCTGGGGTCAGCAGATGTAAGCTATCATGTATAGGATGGAGAGACAAGGTCCCACTGTACGCACAGAGAACTATATTCAATATCTTATGATAAACCATAATGGAAAAGAATATTTATAAAGAATGTACATATGTATGTACAACTGAATCACTTTGCTGTATAGCAGATATTAACACAACACTGCACAATTAACTGCACTGCAACTAAAAACTAAAGTTAATAAAGAGATTATAAATGAATAAGGACCGGCTGTATCTCCAACTTCCTTCCATCCTGCCAGGGCCCATGCCAGAACAGGGTTCCCCCACAGCAGAGGGCCAATACCTCCAGGGCTCACTACCCCAGGCAAAGTAGGGTGGCCGTGGCTCCGAAGGGGGACAGGAAATGGACCCTCTTCCTGGGCCCATCCTGTCTGCTGGGCATTCACACGCAGCCCCAGCTCCCAGCCCTTTCGTCAACTGCTGGTCTAATCTCAACCCCCAGCCCAGGGGCAGCCCCATAAAACCACGAACTCAGCAGAAATCCTGCAGGTTCGTTTCAGACACCAGCGCAAAGGCTCTGTGCCCTGGTGTGTAATGGGCATGAGATAAACAGCTGTTGAGAAGGACGAGGGGAACATGGGGAGGGAAGGGGAGGGCCTGCTGATTTCATCCTCAGCCAGAGCGGTGCCTGGAGCCCTGGCTGACCTCTTCAGATGGGCACTGGGGTTGGCTGGAGGTGGCTTTCAGACAAGAGGAGGGGTCTTACTTACCAGGAGGGGGCATGCCGGAAGCCAGGCACTCCAAGGTCACGGAGGCATTTTCTAGCACCGCCTTGTTGACCAGGCCCGGCTCGATGTTGGGAGGCACTAGGGAGATAAGAAGAGCCTGGCTTTCAGGGTGAGGCTCCAGGCAGCTCAGCTCAGCCACCCCAAGACAACCCCCCCCCCCAGCCTTCCAAAGGGGGCCTGGGCAATAAGGCACCCCAACAGCTCATGTTTGCTGATTAAGGAACCCCCTCCTGGACCATGCCCAAGAACAAAGGCACTGGGATGCAAGCTTTATTTCAATCACTTGTACCCAACCCCCCAGGAACAGCCAGCATCAGGCACAGTGGGGGAGGTGGACTCCAGGGACCCCAGGAAGTCATGAGGGGTGACAAGGGCAAGGATGTGCCCATATACCCAAGGACCTAAATGAGCCCTCAAATGCATAAAACAAGCAAAGATACAAATGAATGAGAACAGGCTGTCCACTGAAAGCCTAACAGAAAGCGATCAAAGGAGAGGCTTCCCTGGTGGCATAGTGGTAAGGAATCTGCCTGCCAATGCAGGAGACGTGGGTTTGATCCCTGGTCAGGGAAGATCCCACTTGACATGTAGCATCAAAGCCTGTGTGCCAGAACTACTGAACCTGTGCTCTCGAGCCCGTGAGCAGCAACTGCTGAGCCTTCCTGCCACAACCACTGAAGCCCACGTGCCCTAGGACCCATGCACCACAAGAGAGGCCACCGCAATGAGGAGCCAACCGCAACTAGAGAGTAGCCCCTGCTGGCCGCAGCTAGAGAAAAAGCCCATGCAACAAGGAAGAACCAGCACAGCCAAGAAAAATAAATAAATAGATAAATAAAATTATATATATACACACATATATATAAACAACCAAAAGGGACCATAGTAAATGACTCTCTACTTATTTTATCTTATTGGCTGCACTGCATAGCATGTGGGATCTTAGTTCCCCGACCAGGGATCCAACCCATGCCCCCTGCAGTGGAAGCGCAGCGTCTTAATCATTGGACCGCCAGGGAAGTCCCATTGACATCTAAAGTTAAGTACGTGACATTGATTTTAGGACCCCTGGCCATCTCGGACCTCTGGCAGTGGCCCCACGGGCCCTCAACCACCCACCACCCCCATTATAGTCTCCTTACCTAACACCCTGAGTGTCACGTCCCTCCTGCTCTCCCCGGCCAGGTTAGTGGCGACACAAGTGTAGATGCCTTCGTCCTTCAGGTCCACCTTCTCAATCTGGGTGGACAGGAGGAAGGATGGGTGTGTACCAGGGAGGTGGGTGGGGCCCGGGGTCAGGGCAGTCAGAGCGACACTGGGATATGGCTAGTGGACAGGCTGCTGCGGGCCCCAGGGCAGGAGAAAGTGAGGATGGGCACAAGCTTGGTTCTGGGATGGAGTTCTGAGCCCCGCTTTCAGATTCCAGAGGATTCCTCTGATCTTGGGGGCTACTCCCCTCCCCCAACTTTCTCCCTCTGGTCACCCAAACTCTCAGACCCAGTCGAGGCTAAGGGCTCCCTTCCTTCTTCAGACCCAGGACCCCAGCGTCCACTGAGCATTTCCAGGATGAGTGGACATCGTCTGTTCTGCCCTCAGGCTGCCAGGGCCCCTCTTGAGCTCTCCAGGACCCCAAAAAGCAGCCGCTCCACCTGTGCAGTTGTCCCACCAGCCCTGGGGCCCTTGCACATACCTGAAGGCTCCCCCCCGAGGCTGCCAGAGCTACCCCATCCTTCCACCAGCGGAGGCTCGGGGTAGGCACCCCAGTCCCTGCACATCGGAGGGTCACAGTCTGCAGGAGAGGGGCTGTGATGTTCTCACCCCCAACGACGACCACCGATGGGAGCTCTGGGCAGAGGAGAGGCAGGGAGGCCCAGTCAGGGTCAGGAGGGGTGCAGTGGGCACCCAGAGACCTCCTCAATGCCTGGGTAGTGAGGGAGTGGCCTTGCGGGCCTGGCCTCTAGCTTCCCCCCACTCAACCCTCCAGACACCTGGCCTTGCGGGGAAGAGCACCAGGCTGGGAGCCAGCAGAACAGGTCTTTTCCTTTATAATTCTCCCATCCACCATCTGTCATCCACCCATCCATCATCTACCATCCATCATAGATCCATTCATCATCCATCCATCCACCCATCATCTACTATCCATCATCCATCATAGATCTATTCATCCATTCATCATCCATCCATTCATCCATCCATCCACCCATCATCTATCATCCATTCATCCATCATTCATCATCCATCCATCATCCATCCATCAACCATCCATCTATTCATCCATCAACCATCCATCCATCATCCATCTATCCAACCATACATCATCCATCCATCCATTAATCATCCATTCTTCCTCTATTCATCCATCATTCATCAACCGTCCATCCACAATCCACCATCCATCCATCTACCATCTATCTATCCATCATCCATCCATTCATTCATCCTTCATCCACCCATAAACTGTCACCCGTCCACCCATCCACCATCCATCCATCCATCATCCATCCATTTATTCATCCATTCATCCATCATTCATCATCCATCCATCCATCAACCATCCATCCACCCATCATCTATCATCAATCATCCATCCATTATTCATCATCCATCCATCTACCATCTATCTATCCATCATCCACCCATCCATTCATCCATCATCCATCCATCCATAAACCATCATTCATCCATCATTTCATCATCCATCCATCCATCCATCCACCACCCACCCATCATCCATCATCCATCCATATGTGCCCTGTGCCCCTCACTGCACTAGGCACAGAGACACAGCAGAGAAAGCTCTGTGCTGCCCCCAGAGCTCCCAAGCTGGGCTGGAGAGAAGAACAACCAAACAAGCAATTCCAGTACGATAGGTGGGGGTGCTATGGTCATGAAGTGCAGATTGTAACCATGTTGGAATCAAGGAGGGCTTCCTGGAGGAAAGGGTGTTTTACGACAGATCTAAAAGATAGAGAGGAGGTAAGCAAGCGAAGAAGACTGTTCCAGGCCGAGGAAACAGCATTTGCAGGCTTGAGGTAAGAAAGCCAATTTATTTAAAGAGTTGAATGAAGTTCGGTGTGATCAGTATAAAGAGAGCAAATGGGATAGGAGAGGCTGGGGAGAGGATCGTGGGTCTGTGGACTGGGGAGACATCAAGCGTAGTGAGAAGCTGAGACCCCGCTCACGTCTGTGTCTCTTTGGTGAGCTGGGGAGTCCAGCCCAGAAATGCCGTCCTGAGAAGACCAGCTGCCTACCCTGCCCAAGTCTTCGAGGCCTGCCAAAGGCGCAGAGGACCTTGGCCCTCTGGCTTCACCCACCCCGGCCCTGGAACCCCAGGCCCACTCACCATGCACAAAGAGCTCCACCTCGGCCCCGGCCGTACCGGCCTCATTGGTGGCCTGGCAAGCAAAGAGACCCGCGTGGCCCAGCTCCACGCGGTCGATGTGCAGCGTGGTCCCCGGCAAGGCCACCCACACCCCGGGCAGCTCCTCGGCCGGGCGGCCATTCTGCAGCCACCTAGAGCGTGGCGGGGAGGGGAACAGGTCAGTCTAGGCCAGGGCAGGCAGGGGCAACGGGACAGGCCAAGAGGTCAGGCACATCTCTCTCCTGCTCTCACGCCCCTGGCTCCGTGGCTTCCTTCAAACTTCTGGGAGGTGGAGTATCTCCCAGTCCCACCCCTCCAAGCATGCTCTTTGCCCACTCCCATCCCCCCTGTTCTGGCCTTCACCACCCCATACGCACTGGATCGTGGGCGCTGGGAAGCCCGAAGCCTGGCAGGGAAGGTCCAGGGACTGTCCCACGAGGGTGGTCACCTGGCCCAAGCCTTCAGCCACCAGGAGCTGCGGGGCAACTGCAGACAGGAGTCACCACTGGGTATTTGGAGTTGAGAAAGTGCCGGCCTCCAGCCCTCCCAAGCCCCTGTGCCGCCGGAGGAAGGCCCAAGCTCCACCTCCCCCTTCAAGTCTCCCTGTAAGTGGCCCCTCCCCCAGGAGGCCTTCCAGGACCACCCAAGTTCGGCCTCCCCACCAGAGTGGTCTGTTTATTCAGCATCTGTCTTCTCCCCAGACCCAGGGCTCAGGAGTCTCATCTGCCTGCTCCCTGACTTATCTCGGAGTCAGTGGTGGGAAGAAGCAGGCAAAAGCCCCGCCCACCTGTCCTGGGACCGGCGCCCACCACCCAGCTTTGGGCCTCAGAGAGTTAGTTCCCCATTGAGCTCCCATTGACCAGGAGCATCTCCTGGAAGACAGATGTCCTCCTTCCAGGGGTGGTGTCCTCCGCCCAGGGGTCCTCCACCGCCAGCTAGGTGGTGACCTGGCCCAGAGTCCTGGGAGGGAACAGGGACCCTTGAACCTGGGAGTTAACCCCATCCACCCGGTAGCTCCGAAGGGCCCCCGCCCAGGTCACAGTGCCCTCATGTGTCTCAGGCACTGGTCACTTCTCCCCCAGCTTCCACCTGCTCCACACACAGCCGGAGTGCGAGGAGGGGCCCCCGGCCCAGTGACGCGGGGGGGGGCAGGCCTGGGCTCACCCTGCACCTCCACGGAGTAATGCAGCACAGCCTCCCCCGCGGGGCTGCTGGCCACGCAGCTATACAGGCCTCCGGACGCCTCCCCCAGGCTCTCCAGGCTCAGCACGCTGCCGCCCGCCTCCAGCCACGTCCCGTTGCTCTCCACCACGGGCAGCCCCGCGTGGTACCAGGAGACGGTGGGGGGTGGGTAGCCTCTGGCCACACACTCGAGGGTCAAGGGCCTCCCGGCCACGGCCTTCACCACTCGAGGTCCTTCGCCAGTGCCCTCGATGGTGGGTGGGACTAGGAGAGATGGAGGCAGGGGGCTGTTCAGGGGCCAGCAGCCCAGTTAAGCCCCTCCCTGACCCCACCCCGTGTGAGATGCCTCCTCCCTGCTCCGCTAGCTGGAAGCCCTGTTCAGACCTCACCTCCTCCTCTGAGCCTCCCCCAAACCCCTAGCTGGAAGCACCCTCTCCATCCTCTGTCCCTAGGTGGCACCCCCCATTGCCCCCTACTCTGCCTGCATCTTCTCTCCATGCCTTGCTCCCCCCATGAGCTCATCTTCCACAGAACGCTCGTCTCTGCGTATCCCCAGTAGGTCTCCATATCCACTGAACCCCAGATGATGAGCTCCCTCGGGCCCAAGACCAAAGCTTCTGCTCCTATTGGTCCCCTTTCTGGTCCAAGGAAGTGAGCCGACCCTAGTCCAGATGACCCAGCTTGTGGGGGCTCCTAACTCAGCCAGGGATGGCCAAGTGGGTAGCCAGGGAGGGCGGCTCCTCTCTTCCCACTGGGGAGGGCCCCCCAAGTTGCTAAGCCCATGGAGCTGTTCCTAGGAGACATGAGGCAAAAAGAGACTAGGATGGGCTTCTCAGCCTCACGGGGGTCACAAGCCCCACTGTAAACATAATGAAAATACACGTGCATTTTCCGTCCACTTCCAGGAGGTCCTCAGACCCCTGAGCTGGCAGCTGGGCTCACTCTCAGAGGGGCCCACAGAACCCAGACACCCAGCTTCCCTTTGGGGTTCCCAGGGCTCCAGCACCCAAGCTGTGGGTGTCTTTGGGGACCAGAACTCCAGAGCTGACCCTTCGAGAGGAACCAGAAGGTCCCCACTGGCCCGCATTCTGTCCTCTCGGACTTCGCCTGCTCGGACCCACCCCTGCCATCGACACAGACCCTGTCCTGTGAGTTCTCTGCATGCCCTCAGAGCCAAGACCCTTCATGCAGGCCAACGCCCAGGTTAACAGCACATCATCTACGGTCAGGGCTTCTCTGGGGGCTCAGACAGTAAATGATCTGCCTGCAATGTGGGAGACCAGGGTTCAGTCCCTGGGTCGGGAAGATCCCCTGAAGGAGGAAATGGCCAGGCACTCCAGTATCTTGCCTGGAAAATCCCATGGACAGAGGAGCCTGGTGAGCCACAGGGTCGCAAACAGTCAGACCCGACTGAATGGCTAACGCTTTCACTTTATCTATAGTCAGACCCTCTAGGTGTGAACCAGGTCCTCTCACCTCCTAGTGGGGTGACCTGGGTCAGTCCCAGAGCCCATCAGACTCACCCTTGAGTGGGAGGACCAGGGCCCTAGTCCCTGAGATGAAATTAGCTGTTGCTATGATGAGGCCCAGGGGGTCCAGGCCACAGTAAGTGATTAATCAAGAGCAGTTAGTTATTAGTGGTGGTCTTGGGGGTCTGGGTGCAAGTTTCTGAAAAGCCCTAAACCATAACGGGAGACCTGGCTTCTCCACTGGGCTCTCCCTGGGCCCCAAGACAGACCCATCTCCTGGCCTTAGTTTCCTCTCTGGCCAGGGGAGGCTGGATGGGATGACCCTTCTCCCGGGGGTAACTCTTCAATCTCATTATCTTGGGCCTCTGGCCGCTCCCCTCACCACCTTTGGAGCCAGACGGAGACCACCGTGGTGCAGGGTCCTCCCCCGCTCACCCCAGCGGACCCTTGCTCCTGCCACGCCCCCGGGCCACTCACCGTAAACCTCCAGCCGGGTGGTCTTCTCCACGACCCCCACGGCGTTGCTGGCCTTGCAGCTGTAGGTGCCAGCGTCCGAGCCCTGGGCCCGCTCCAGCTGCAGCTGCCGGCCGCCTCTGGTGTAGATCACCCCAGCGCTGGGGACCAGGGGGTCCCCATCCTTGAACCAGGTGATGTCGGGCATGGGCACCCCTCGCGCCTCGCACAGGAACCACACGGGGTGGCCCTCCATGACGGCCACCTCGCTCGTCTCATTGGAGCCCCAGATGGAGGGGGGTGCTGAAGACAGTGGGGGCGAGAGAAGGTCACAGGGAGCCTGCCCAGCGCCGAGGCGGCTGGCGTCCCGCCCCTTGCAGCCCCCAAGCTCCTGCCCGTGGGTCACAGCACCGCACCCGTCACAAGCTTCCACTGCAGGGGGCGGGGAGGGGCGGGGGACTCTGGGGACAGACGGGAGAGGCCAGCTCAGGACGTGCTGACGTGGAAGGCGAGCCTGGCCATGGCAAGAGGTGCAGGAGGCAGGGCAGGGGCCGCGGGTCAGGTCTGGATGCCCCCACCCCACCCCCCGCCTCTAAGCGGCTGTATGACCTGGAGAGGTCGCTTCCTCTGGGGTTCAGCCTCCTCATCCGTAAAACGAGGAGCTGAACTGGATCAGGGGTCCCGCAGGGCAGGTCACACACCACGGGTGCTACCCAAGCGGACCCTCGGGACACACGGACATGCATCTCATAACAGAACAGTTATGCCCTTCCCTAATCTCCTTCCGGCCTGATTACAACAAAGGAAAAGGCAGTTTGGTGTGTCTGGCGTGACTGTGTTCTTAACCTTTCTAGCACTTTCTATTCTGCACTTTCTACCACATGCGGGCAGCTCATGCCTCAGGGTTTCCAGCATCCCTCTTTGGTGGCATTTGTTTTCACAGCTTCCTCCCACGAAGGCCAAGCAACCCTGGTTCCCACTTCCCTTTGAAATATCCAACATCCTTTTAGGTAACTGGGCTTCAGTGATTTGATTTGATTTTAAGAAAGAAAAGTGATTTGATTTAAAGAAACGACCATCCGGAGTGTACCAAAGATAGAACCTGGAAACCTCGGATGGGGACGACGGGATTTGGGGAATATTTCAGATTCCCTCTGTCCGTCCCCTTCCAGTTTTACTGAACTGGGGGCGGACTCCTCAGAGACTCCCATTTCTGCCCTCACCCGCCCCACCCCACGCAGTGGGCAGCCCCTAGTGAGGATGGGAAGAGGCTGGGCTCACAGTAGATTCTGAGCTGAAAGTCCTTGGTCTGCTGGCCGGCTGGGCTGAAGGCCACACACTGGTACCAGCCCTCATCTCCCAGGTGACTGTTGGTGATTCTGAGAACCTGGCCATCCTCCTGAAGCTGGATGTGGGGCTCCCCCAGAAAGACAGGTCTGGAAAAAGATGGTTGAGAGAAGTTAAGGCCAAGGCGCTGGCAGGGGCGGGCTGCACAGAGGGGGCCTGATGCTTGGGAAAAGGAAGACTGGAAAACTCACAGTCACTGAGCAGTACCAATAACCCAAGTGCCCATCAATGGATAAATGGATAAACAAAATGTGGTCCTTCCCTACAATGGAATATTATTCAGCGTTAAAAGGAATGAGGTGGCGTGGTTGTTCAAAATTCTCCAAGCCAGTCTTCAGCAATACGAGAACCATGAACTTCCAGATGTTCAAGCTGGTTTTAGAAAAGGCAGAGGAACCAGAGATCAAATTGCCAACATCCGCTGGATCATCGAAAAAGCAGGAGAGCTCCAGAAAAACATCTATTTCTGCTTTATTGACTATGCCAAAACCTTCAATTGTGTGGATCACAATAAACTGTGGAAAATTCTAAAAGAGATGGGAATTCCAGAACACCTGACCCACCTCTTGATAAACCTGTTTGCAGGTCAGGAAGCAACAGTAGGAACTGGACATGGAACAACAGACTGGTTCCAAATAGGAAAAGGAGTACGTCAAGGCTGTATATTGTCACCCTGCTCATTTAACTTATATGCAGAATACATCATGAGAAACGCTGAGCTGGAAGAAGCACAAGCTGGAATCAAGATTGCCGGGAGAAATATCAATAACCTCAGACATGCAGATGACACCACCCTTATGGCAGAGAGTGAAGAAGAATTAAAAAGCCTCTTGATGAAAGTGAAAGAGGAAAGTGAAAAAGTTGGCTTAAAGCTCAACATTCAGAAAACTAAGATCATGGCATCTGGTCCCATCACTTAATGGGAAATAGATGGGAAAACAATGGAAACAGTGTCAGACTTTATTTTTCTGGGCTCCAAAATCACTGCAGATGGTGATTGCAGCCATGAAATTAAAAGACACTTACTCGTTGGAAGGAAAGGTATGACCAAACTAGATAGCATATTAAAAAGCAGAGACATTATTTTGCAAACAAAGGTCTGTCTAGTCAAGGCTATCGTTCTTTCAGCGGTCATATATGGATGTGAGAGTTGGACTACAAAGAAAGCTGAGCGCTGAAGAATTGATGCTTTTCAACTGTGGTGTTGGAGAAGACTCTTGAGAGTCCCTTGGACTGCAAGGAGCTCCAACCAGTCCATCCTAAAAGAGATCAGTCCTGGGTGTTCATTGGAAGGACTGATGCTGAAGCTAAAACTCCAATACTTTGGCCACCTCATGAGAAGAGTTGACTCATTAGAAAAGACCCTGATGCTGGGAGGGATTCGGGGCAGGAGGAGAAGGAGATGACAGAGGATGAGATGGCTGGATGGCATCACCGACTCAATAGACATGAGTTTGAGTAAACTCCGGGAGTTGGTGATGGACAGGGAGGCCTGGTGTGCTATGATTCGTGGGGTCGCAAAGAGTCGGACACGACTGAGCGACTGAACTGAACTGAACTGAACTGAGTGTGGTTGTAGCGTGAAGGAACTTCAAAAGCTGTGTGCTAAGGGCAAGAAGCCAGTCATGAAAAGTCATACACATACTGTATGACTGCAAGAAAGTAATACAAAATAGAGTGAAGTCCATAGAGACAGAAAGCAGGTTAGTGGTTGCCAGGAGCTGGGGGCGAGGGAGGATCAGAGGAGTGACTGCTCATGGGTGTGGGGTCTCTTTCGGGGGTAATGAAATATTCTGGAACTAGATAGAGCTGACGGACTGCAAGCCTATGGATGTACCACTCACACCAAATTGTGCACTTCAGAATGGTGAAGTGAAAGTAAAGTGAAAGTCGCTCAGTCGTATCAGACTCTTTGCGACTCCACGGACTATACAGTCCATGGGATACTCCAGGCCAGAATACTGCAGTGGGTAGCCTTTGCCTTTTCCAGGGGATCTTTCCAACTCAGGGATTGAACCCAGATCTCCTGCATTGCAGGTGGATTCTTTACCAGCTGAGCCACTTGGGAAGCAATGGTAAGCTTCCATTTCAGAATGGTAAACATCATATGAATACCTAAAAAAATTTTAAAAACCTTTAAAAATATTTTTGAAAAATTTTAAAAATAAAAGGAAGGCTGGCCGAGTAATGAGAAGACTCTGCCCATGGAAAACAGGGTCTCACCTGGGTGATCTCTGCCTGGGCCCTGGGTGGCTCACACAACGCCCATCAAACCCCATCCCTGCAGAGTTCACTTCCCCAGAGGACCCCCCCGCAACACACACACACACTCCACCTGGCCCATGCTACCTGCCAGGGGCCACTCACCGCCCGTCCTTGGTCCATTCCACCTGGGGTGTGGGGACCCCTGAGGTCCGGCACTCCAGCTCCACCCCTGTACCAGCCAGGCCCACCACCTCCTGGGCAGCCTCGGCTCCAAGCACCGCAGGTGGGACTAGCCGAGAAAGGGTTGGGAGGGTGTGGTGAAAAATCCTCAGCTCCTACAATCCCTGCCTGCCCAGGGCCTCTGCCTGCTCACCCTTCCCTTCTCCCACCCGGCCCTCGTGGGAAGCTCCCCAAGCCCCTGGCCAAGCAGCCCCGGCTCTGTGCATCCTCTGCGCCTGCGCTGCTGTATTGTATCACATGGTCCAACAGCAGTGACACGGCTCCCGGCCCGCTTGTCTAATGTCCGCCCCACAGCTCCGTGAGGACAGAGACGCGGTCTGCCATGGGCCCCTCTGTGTCCCCAGCTCCCAGCGGGCAGTACCCCCCCGCCACACACACACACGCTCAAAAGGAGAGGGGTTGCAGGGCCAGAACCCCTGGGAACTGGGGGAGCTCCACCTTACTCACTGAGCACGAGCAGATCGAAGTCCCTCTCGGCAGTCCCGGCCTGGTTCTCGGCCCGGCAGGAATAGAGGCCAGAGTCGCTCTCCTGGATCCTGGGAAAGTGGAGGGCCCGGGCTCCATCCAGGAGGCGGTGGCCACCCGCGGCGGGGATCTGAGCAGAAGAGGCCCGAGGGAGTTGGTGGTAGGGGGGTGGTCTGGCCACCCCCTAGCTCCCGACAGCAGTGAGGAAACTGAGGCCCAGGGGGTTGGTTGGTGACTGGAACCCAGAATGGTTCTGTGCCCTCTCCACCATGCAGCCCTCCAGGCTTCCTTGTGGGACCACAGTGAAGGGACCCCCGTGGCCCTGAGCCCCCAGTGCATCCCCAAACACACCTGTCACCTTGCCACATCTCCCAGCCACATCTGGTAACCTGCAGGAACCCGTCCAGAAGGCCTGCACCCTGTCCATATCCCACCCAGAGCCCATCCAGCCCCGGGAGACACCCACCTGCCGCCCGTCCTTGAGCCACGTGATCTCGGGGGCCGGGAAGCCGTTGGCGTCACACTCCAGCGTCAGGGACTGCCCGGCCATGCCCGACACGTTGGCCCTGCGCCCGTCCTCCCGGAGGCTGGGGGGCACTTGGGAGAAGGAGAAGCAGAGGAGCCGCCCCTCGGCAGGTCAGCCACGGCCAGGGACCCCATTCAGGCCGTTCTTCCTGGCCTGGAGGGCAGCCCCGCCTCCCACCTCTTCCCCAGCTTCTGGGCTTCCAGGACGCCCATTCCAGACTCTGGCCGTCAGGAGCCATGTGGACCTGGGAATGGCCACGGCGGCCTCGCCCTGGGAACTCGCCCTGGTCGAGCCCAGGAACTCTACTCGCTCTGACATTCAGCTCTCCAAGATGCGGGAGCCATTGGTTCCATCCGGTTCTCCGCCCAAACGGTTGTCATGGTCACCAAGGGCGGTGCCTGAGGGACCGCCCCCCCTCCACCCCCCCACGGAGTCAGAGTCTCTCTAGGTGCAGCCTGCGTGTGTCTTTGAAACAAACTGCCCAGACAAGTCATTACAGGGCAAGCGGGCGTGGCTGGTTACGGGGAGGCAGAAGGTGGTTCCATTAGGAACCCATGATTAAAGCGGCTTCTCTCACCCCCTCTGTGAGCCCGAGTTGAGGGAAGGGCTCCCCTCCCCCTGCACACAGCAGCCTGGATGAGAGGGCCGGGTACCAGGGAGACATGTGGGCAAGAGGGAAGAGGGAATATGAGCCTCAGGTAGCTTCAGCAGCTTTAGTGGGAGGTGGGCTTTGACCACTGGTGAGCATTCTAAAGGAGATTCACTCCTAGCCCATTTTAAAGCCATTTACAGAATTCCAGGGTCTCCTTACACTGTCTCCATGGGAGGCTCTCTGCATGAAGAAAGCACTCTCCCAACAACACCCTCAAGCCCTCCCTGACAGGCATCAGGGACAGAGGAGCAAGGACCTGTATACTCCTGGCATTGAGCTCTCGGGCCAGGGAGCTCACGTTGCCCCACCCTGGCACCCCAGGGTACCATCACCCCCCAGCTCTGGGGTCCCTACTCACCATGGACCACCAGCTTGGCTCTCCTGGACGCGGAGCCCGCCTCATTGGTGGCCTGGCACTCGTAGTCTCCGCCGTCGGAGGGAGAGACGGAGGCCAGGAACAGAGAGCCTTCGTCCAGCACCGCCAGGCCGGGCCGGCCACGCAGCGGCTCGGACGACGGGCCCTTCCGCCACGTGACCTGCGGCTTGGGCGTCCCTGGCAGGGCACCGGCTCGTCAGCACCAACACCCTGTCTCCCCGGTCCACACCGCACTGCCCCTCCCCTCAACCTGGGTGCGAACATCACCGACCCTCCAGGAGGGGGTCGTCTCAGGCCCCTCCTGGTCCCCAGGCTGCCTGCAGGTGCCCACACACCCGGCCCCTCCCACCCAGGGCTGCGCGTCCATGCGGCCTCCCAGCGCCCCCAGAAGCTGGTTCCCTTCTCGGAGGACCCCACCTGGAACTGCACCGTCACGGGCCCTCCCACCCCCCACCCCTGACCTGCGTCTTCCTTTGCCCCCTGACTACAACTTCCTAATGTATGTAAGATGCACTTTTTTTTACACTATATATATTTTTTGGTTTATTATCTGTCTCCCCCCACAAGGTCCGGGGTCTCTGCTTTATGCCCCGCTGCAACCCCAGCCCTTGGCACCCAGCAGGTGCTACAGGAAAGAAATCAGCTCTCTATGCTCAGCCTTGGTCTTGTCCCATTGGATCATCACATAAACGGTGGAGGTCCCGGCTCGGCCTGGCCTGCTCTGGCCTGGCCTGCTCTGGCCTGGCCACCTCTGAGGCACAAGGTGGGCACTGCTGGCCACACACCCCCACCCTGTGAGCGTCACGATCCCCCAGAATGCCCTTTTCCATCATCCCCCACGTTGCACTGTCCAGAGTTTGGCTCTGCCATCAGACTGTCGGCTCACAAGGCCTGGCACACAGTGGGTGCAGGATAAACAGCCGGGGCACACAGTAGGTCCTCAGATCAGTGTTGGAGGCATAACCCAGTCTTCCAAGCAGTGCACGTGCCCAGGAGGTGAGGCACCCAGTGGTCACAGCCGGGCTTGGGTCACGTGAGCCCCAGCTCTGCAGAGGCGCTGAGCGACCTCAGGACCAAAGGCAGCCCCTACCCACAGTCTTGCCCGCTGGGCCCTCACCTCCCTTCCTGCTTCCACCAGTGCCCAGGACGAGGGCAGCCTACAGCACCTCCGTCACCCTCATCAGGATCACAGTCATCGCCAAACACCGTCATCATGAACCACACCCCCACTTCATCTGCCCACTCCCCTGGCACTCCTCTCGGGGCACTCTGTAAACACATTCTGCCTGTCTCACTTGCTCTCTTATCCTGGCTGTTGCAAGGAGGGGTGGGCCACCTCACTTAGGGGGAACGGCGGGAATGACTTCAAGAGGCGACACGTCCAGTTTCCCCTGGTGATTCAGTGGTTAAGAATCCACCCGCCAACGCAGGAGACACGGGTTCGATCCCTGCTCCGGGAAGACCGCACATGGCGCAGAGCAACAAAGGCCCGTGCTCCGCAACAACAGAAGCCACTGCAGTGAGAAGCCCCCGAGCTGGGACCGGAGGGCAGTCCCTACTCGCTGCAACCAGAGAGAGCCGCACAGCAACAAAGACGCAGTGCAGCCAGAAAGGAATGATTAAATTAAAAAAGACGCGGCACATCCAAGGCAACCGAGGTGTTCAGGAGGCCCTGCCCAAGCAGCACCGACAAGCGCTGGGGAGTCTGCCCGCTGGCCGTCTCGGAAACGGAGGGACCACAGCCACCCACGCTCCCACGCTCCGTGATCTTTGAGCTACTTAATCCTCCGTGTCTGTTTTCTCATAGGCTCCTCTGTCGTTTCCTCTGTGCCTGCCTAGGATGCTCATCCAGGTGACCCACGGCCGGGTCCTGCTCCCCAGAGTGGGGACATGTGTGTGAACACACACGTACACCCCCACAAACACACACAAGCCCCTCCCAGCGCCTCATCTTCTCCAGAAGACCCCAGCCCATCCTCCTCCTCCTCCCCAGAGACCAGGACCTTGGAGCTGCTGGCCTGGAGGGGCATTGTGTTTTGAACCCTGGAACTTTTCCTTTTAAATGCAAATGGCGAACCCCTAAACAAGCTTTAACCACAGAACTCCACTGCTGCTCTGAATGAAGACTCCAGGGTCTCAGGGCTGTTGCTGAAAGTCACTCATCACTCCACTCCCATTTTAAGGGGGTTGAGAGAGGAGCGGTGATTGTCCCAAATCACCAGCAGGTTAGTGACCAGGCTCCTGGCCTCTGCCACAACCCGCAAGGAGGAGGCAGATGGTGCCACCCACTGCAGGGGACCAGGGCTCCCAGGGGACACACCCGGGTGCTCAGGGCTTTCTCCTTTCGCCCTCAGAGCCCAAGGTCGCATGGCTGAAATGAATGCCAGTCCCCAACAGATAGTCACCTGCTTGAAAGGGAGAAGGCCAAGGGCAGCTGGGGAGTCAGGGAGGGGACGTAGGCTGTTTTAATGAAGGAGACTTGGGTGATGCCGACCTGGCTGAAGTTAGGCCCAGAGGACGCCCTGGCTGACCGGAGATGATGCTGGGGTCGTGGGTGGCCGTGAGGCATCAGGGCAAGAGGCGGTGGTTGGTGGTCCCGCCTCCCACAGCCCACAGTTGCTGTCTGTTGCTAAGTCATGTTTGACTCTGCAATCCCAAGGGCTGTAGCCCGCCAGACACCTCTGTCCATGGGAATTTTCCAGGCAAGAATACAGGAGTGGGTTACCATTTCCTTCTCCAGGGGATCTTCCCCACCCAGGGATTGAACCTGTATTTCCTCCATGCGTCTATATCGGGACTCCCTGTGCGAGAGCGACCGAAAATTTTTTATTTATTTTTTGGGGCTCCAAAATCACTGCAGATGGTGACTGCAGCCATGAAATTAAAAGACGCTTGCTCCTTGGAAGAAAAGGTATGATAAACCTAGACAGAATATTAAAAAGCAGAGACATTACTTTGCAAACAAAGGTCCATCTGGTCAAAGCTATGGTTTTTCCAGTGATCATGTATGGATGTGAGAGTTGGACTACAAAGAAAGCTGAGCGCTGAAGAATTGATGCTTTTGAACTGTGGTGTTGGAGAAGACTCTTGAGAGTCCCTTCGACTGCAAGGAGCTCCAACCAGTCCATCCTAAAGGAGATCAGTCCTGGGTGTTCATTGGAAGGACTGATGCTGAAGCTGAAACTCCAATACTTTGGCCACCTGATGTGAAGAACTGACTCATTTGAAAAGACCCTGATGCTGGGAAAGATTGAAGGCAGGAGGAGAAGGGGACAACAGAGGATGAGATGGTTGGATGGCATCACCGACTCCATGGACATGGGTTTGAGTAAACTCCAAGAGTTGGTGATGGACAAGGGAGGCCTGGCGTGCTGCAGTCCATGGGATGGCAGAGAGCAGGACCCGACTGAACTGAACTCTGCGAGCGTGCCCTAAACATTCCTTGCTGTTACCAGATACTAACACAAGGTGGCGGCCTGGTCAAGAGCGAGACGAGGGTCCGTTCAGGTGGTCGACGCCCAGGGCTCCAGTGGCGAATGCCTCTTTGCCACCCCATGAACTGTAGCCCACCAGGCTCCCCTGTCCATGGGATTCTCCCGGCAAGAATACTGGAGTGGGTTGCCTTGCCCTCCTCCAGGGATCTTCCTGACCCAGGGATCGAACCTGTCTCCTGCCCTCCAGCATGGCAGGCGGATTCTTTACCAGCTGAGCCACCAAGGAAGCCCATGGCTCCCACCTGCCTCCTACCTGCCCCTCCCCCCGCCCCTTTCCGAGGACTTCCCCAGGCCCCGAGCAACGAGGAAGTGCAGTGCCAACTGGAATCCACTTTCCTAGCTCCTGCCAGTCTTCCTGTAAGCTGCCACTTGCTCCCCGAACACCCAGACGCCTGCTCTCCAAGAGAACACTGTCCACGTACAGAGGAGACATTTAGGCCATCTTGGTCCAAAGCCAGAAGAAGCAACTTGGGCTGGCACCCACTGGGTGCCACTGGGAGGCTTCATGGATGGTAGAATCACTCCATGCATTCAACACGTTTCCCCAAGCCCCTCCTGTGTGCCAGGCATGGTGCTGGGACCTAGTACTCCCGCAGTCCATGGCAGCCCTCTGGGGAAGAATGGGTGTGACCCCCACCGGACAGCCGAGAAAACTGAGGCTCGGAAAGGACATGTGACCTGCCCAGCACTGGGCAGTTGACCAGGGGTGGCGATCTTGACCCCGCACTGTGCTGTTGCCCCAGGAGGGCCCCCAAGGGACAGTTTGCCCAGAACCCTGTGGATCCATCCTCTGTGAGAGAGTCTGGGGCTGGGGGAGAGGCCGGAGCCACAAGCCCTGATCCCAGGACCCTGGTGCCTTCCTCGGCCCCAGGTGTTACGCTCCCTGGCACAGAGGGACTCGGGGCTTAACAGGTACTCAGAGCTAGGGGTTAAAGCATATTATACTCCGTGAGTCATCTTCCAGCTGTGTGACCTCAGGCAAGCTGCTTAACCTCTCTGAGCCTAAATTGCCCCTAGTGAAAAAGAGCTAATGCTAACACCCATCCTGTAGGGTTGTGGATGGGATGAAGTGCTTGGCATGGCAGGTGGAAGTGGGGACCCCATAACCCTCCATACCCATGGGCACTGCCCACAGTGAGTGACCCAGGGTGCTGGAACATGGGTGGATTTTCTCCCCCGCCTGGCCCACCCAGGGCCCAGCCTCACCTCTGGCAGGGCACGGCAGGCTGGCGTTCTCTCCTGCTACCCTCTCCAGCAGGCCGCTGGTCTCATCGGTCCCCCAGTGCGGTGGCTCTGGTGGGAGGTGATGTGGCCACACTCACACCCCCAAACCCAAAGCCTGGCACTTCCCCCAGGAGCCCAGGGCCTTGGGGGGAGGGAGCATTCCCTTCAGAGCCTCAGTTGGAATAAGGGGGGCAAGCCCTGCACCCCAGCCCTCAGCCTCAGGGCCAGAGGCATCAGCTCACCCCCCGCCCAGGGTGGTCCATGGAACAGCCTCTAGGGCCACGAGCAAACCCCCCAGGCTCGGGGGCTAAGCTCGGGCATCCGGCCCCTCCAGCAGCAGCTTTCTGCATGCGTGTGTTTCAGATTCATCAGAGGGAACAGGCTAACACCAGGGATCCAGAACTTTCTATGCACCAGACACTTCACACGCATTCTCGCACTGACCCCTCACATATTATTGGACACATTTTATGGGGTCAGAGAATGTAAATGACTGGCTGATGGCTGTCCAGCTGGAAAGTGGGAGAAGCTGGCCCCAGGCCCAGGCGTCTGCTCTTCAATCAGCAACCCTAGGGCGCCTGCAGCCCACCCCGGGGAAGGAACCCCGCCCCCGCAACCCGGGGCGGGCGAGAGCTGCCTGATGCGGACTCAGGTCTGGGGGGAAGAAGGAGTTCAGCAGCTCAGAAGCCAGGCAGCTGCAGGGGGCTGCAGAAGATGGGGGGGCCGGGGAGCTATGGGGGTCGGGAACCACTCACCCAGCACCCTGAGATCCAGCTCCCAGGCGTCCACCCCGGCGCTGCTGGACGCCTCGCAGCGGTATGTCCCGGCATGGGAGGTTTGGATGGCTGTGAAGTGGATGGAGCCCTCAGGCCCCTCGCCCCGCAGGGCCACCCCATCCTTGGACCAGGTCACCCGGGGCTCCGGGTTGCCCTCGGCCACGCAGTTCAGGTCCACGGCTTCTCCCACCAGCACCTTCAGGACCCGTGGGCCCGGCTGCACCTGCGGGGGCACTGACAGGGCCATGGGGAGGGGGGTCAGGGCAGGGGCACGGGCTGCGGGGAGGGGATGCAGGGCCCAGACACCCAGGGCAGGCCCGGCCTGCTCAGGGCTCCCCGCATCCTGGACGTCACCAACCTGAAGGGCGCAGAGGGTGATCTGAGGCCTACCGTTCCTGGTTTTTTGGGAAATGACATCAGGCCACCTTGTGTGGACCACCCCCCAAGCATGAGTGCCATCACCCTTTCCCCTGAACAACCGTGCTCTCACCAAAGCATCGCTCCTCCACGCTGGGCTTACTTCCCCACCCCGCCCCAGCACCCCCCCCCCCCCACCCCTGGGCTTGCCCCCAGCACCATGTGAGAATCACCAGCTCAGTGTGGTATGGGGACACCGAGGCCCAGGGCGCAGCAGGCACGAGCGGGGGCTTCAAGTCCTAGGCCTGCCCTTCGAGGTCACAGGGCCCTGCATTGGCCGGGGCCTCAGTTTCTCCTCCTCACAAAGTTGCCCCGGGTGCAACAGGACATGGCATCAGAGCAGCCAGCAAGGAGCCTGGTCCACAGTGGTGCCTAAACCATAGCAGCTTAGACCCACTCTCGGGGTTCCCAGCTCGCTCTTTTCCTTTCCCTGGGGTGGGGTGGGGTGGGGATGAGGTAGATGATGGGTTTCATTTTCTCCACATTTTCTGTTTTCAAGTCACTTCCCCATCCTCCATCCCAGTTGGTCCCTCCCACGGGTGGGTGATGCCATGCCCATTTTGCAGATGAAGAAACTGAGGCTCAGAAAGGTTATGTGACTTGACCAGAGTCTTCCACTCCATATCTGCTCACAGGAGCTGGATCAGCCCCAAGCCTGGGGCTGGATGAGCAGGAATGCAAGAGGTTTCCATGCAGCCAGACTGGGTGAGTCTGAGAGAATTCTCAGAGACTTGGAAAAATGTCCTGGGCCCTCAGGGGAAGTTGAGGACACCCACTCCCTTCCCAGCTTCAGAAGAGGAGCCTGAAGATAAGACCATCCATGAGAGCTGGCCCCTGGGCAGAGTTTGGCTCCCCCAAACCCAGCCCAGAGCCTCGCTGTCCAGAAGCACAAGGGTGGACAGGGTGCCCACCACCCCGCTGAAAACACTAACAGTTTCCACTGTGCTGAGTACCTGAAGTCATCAGTACCCTTACTGTGGGATAGGCGTTATTGCCTCTACTTTGTAGATGAGGAATCCAAGGCTCAGAGAGTCCAAGCAGCTGGCCTAAGGTCACACAGCCAGTCGGCAGCAGAGTCAGCACTCAAGCCCAGCTCTGTTCATGCTCCCGCCCCCCGCTTCCCTGCTCCTCTCCTGAGCTGTGCTATGTTTAGTCGCCCAGTCGTGTCTGGCTCTGTGCGACCCCACGGACTGTAGCCCGCCAGGCTCCTCTGTCCATGGGATTTCTCCAGGCAAGAATAATGGAATGGGTTGCCATGCCCTCCTCCAGGGGATCTTCCCAAAGCAGGGATTGAACCCAGGTCTCCCGCACTGCAGGTGGGTTCTTTAACATCCGAATCACCTTCTCTCATACGCTCATGTGAACACACAGCGAAGCTTTGAGCCCCTACCTCTCTGAACCTCAGTCTGTCCACCTGTAAAATGGGGAGTTAAGCCTAGAGCAGGGATTGGCTCTTTCTGGAAAGGGCCAGAGAGTAAATATCTTAGGCTCTGCAGGCCAGATGGTCTCTGTCTCAGCTACTAACTTTGCCATTTCAGTGTGAAGGCAGCCACAGACGCTATGTAACCAAACGTGTGTGGAGGCGCGCCAGTGAAGCTTGTATTAATGGACACTGAAGAACTGAGCTTCATATAATTTTCATATGTCACATTATTTGTCTTTTCTTCCCCAATCATTAGAAAACGCAGACATCATTCTTCACTTGTGGGCCAAATGAGAACGGCGTGTAGGCGAGAAGTGGCTAAGGGCTGTGGTTGGTGGACCCGGGTCTCAGATGACTCACTGGGGCTCTTGGAGGTGGCAGGCTCCCCGCCTCACTGGTGGAGTGACTCCACTGCGTGGCTTCTGTGAATTGGACCTGGACCACCCAGGTGAACGCCCACTCCTGGGCCCCCACCTGGGCTGGGACCCAGAATACCCTATGTGGGTTGCCCTCCCAAACCCTAAGTCCCTGCCGCCTTGGAGTCCCACCCTCGGTTCTCAGGGGGAGCTCTAACAGCCTGTCTGAGCTCAACCAAGGGGTACAGGAGAGGGGAGGAAAAGGGGTGGGGAGAAGGAGAGACAAGACTTGGAAAAGGAAATAGGGTAGATGGAGCACACGCTGGAAGGCCATGAAAAGGTGACAGAGCCTGGCATGGGGATGGGGAGGAACACCAAAAGGCCTGAGAGAGGTGGGGGCAGGGGCCACGTGGGGAGACAGAGGCTGCCAGCCAGGGCCCTACCTTGCACCCTGAGGATGTAGTACTGAGTAGCGGATCCGGCAGGGTTACTGGCTGTGCATTCATAGAGGCCGCTGTCACTGACCTGGGCCTGGGCCAGATGCAGGGAGCCCAGCAGGAGGAGGTGATGCCTGAGGAAATGAGGGACACTGGTGAGACCCCAACCAACCCCACATCTGCTGGCAAGGTCTCAGGACCCAACTTGAACCAGCTGCCTCCTCCAGGAAGCCTGCCAGGACTGAGGCAGTATCCACCACCCACCTTTCACTGCCCCCCGTGCCCTGCTTCCAGTTCCCCAAACCACCAGGCCAAGGCCAGGTCCACTCCAACTGGTGTAAGAGACAAAGAACACTAAGCTAGGAGTCCGCTGGCTGGGTTTGACTTTGAACTCCAATTTTGAGCTGGGTAAAGCAAGTCTCTTCATCTCTTGGAACCTCTGTTTCCTCATCTGTAAAATGGGTACATTAAGGAGTGCTGTGACTGGGGCTGGGGACAGATTCCACGTGGGCTCAGTCCACGGCCCAGCACCTGGTCTCCAGCAACTCCTCCTTTTCTAATGCACACACCTACGATCCCTCAACCCTGTCCTGAGAGGTGGAGGCGAGGCCTCACCTGGAGGACCCCTGGCTTCCAGGGAGAAGCTGCAGGCCAGAGGCCCTCTGCGTCTTGGGGTCAGATTCACCCAGACTACGAACACAGTGTTTTTTGGTGTCCAGCTGTCCGGCGCTGTGCTGGGCTCTCGGGAGGAAGCTGTGAGGTTCCCCCATCACTGCCCTCCCCACTCCAGCCCACCTGCTGAAGTCACCTGGCCCCCAGCCCACAGAGATCTGGGACCCTCAGCCAGGCTCCCGCAGCTGGACTGAACCCCAGGGGATCCCCGCAGACATGATATCACTGGCCCATATGTGCTGGCTCCGTGTAGCCCCTGCCCCCATAGAACTGGGAGGGCAGCTGCAGCCCCTGGCCCCAGCCGGCCCCGAGAACAAGCAGCCAGCATAGCGGTGGGGGACCCCAAAGGGCCAGTCCCTCCCCCGCCTGTGCTCATCAGGGTCCAGCTGAGCGCCGATCCCGGTCCCCACTCCCCTCTCATTGAGTCTCAGATTCTCCCTATGCAAAACAAGGATGACAGCAGTCCCCCATTTACTAAGCAGCTTCAAGCGAAGTACTGGGCATACACTTATCCACCAGGTCGATATTGTTGGCAATTCACTTTCTGTGCAATCTCGGGCCACTAGCTTTGCCCTGTGGGTCTTCTGTCTCCCCATCTGTAAAGTGGGGCTGTAATCCCCTCCTCTAGTTTGCCCTGAACGTCCAGTGGGTACCTGGGCCAAGTCCTCTGAGGACAGCTGGGAGTGATACACCAGCTGGCGGTCTCTAGAGCCCAGGCACCGGGCTGGGGCCAGCTGGCTCCGACCCTGTTCTGCCCCGTGCCTGCTGTGTGACGTTGGTTAAGTCACTCAGCCTTTCTGTGCGTTGGTTGGCTCCTTTGCAGGGCAGGGGGAAATAAGACAGAAGTGGTGCTTCTTCCTCATGGGGTTGTCCAGAGAATTGAAAGATCTAATTCACAACACAGTGCCTAGAACAGTGTGAATGTGTGCTAGGTCGCTCAGTCATGTCCCACTCTTGGCGACCCCATGGACTGCAGCCTGCCAGCTTCCTTTGTTCTTGGAATTTCCCAGCAAGAATACTGGAGTGGGTAGTCATTCCCTTCTCCAGGGGATCTTCCAGACCCAAGAACAGAGACACACTCAATGAAGGTCAGCTGTTACCATGGTGACAACGGTGCATCCATTACAATATACAACATAATTTTGCATTGTTTAAAACTCATATAAATGGCAAAGTGTATATGTATGTGGGTCCAATTCACTCATTTTTCACTGTTGCATAGTAGTCCTCTGTGTGAATTTACCACACTTGGTTAATTAGCTCTCCTTTTGGTGTACATTTAAACATCTAGATTTCTTCCCTTTCCTCCAGCCCTTTTTTCCTTCCTTGGTTCTTTCTCTCGCCGCCAGAGTTCTCTGCACACTGACACATGCGTGCCCAGGCACAGAAGCTGGCCCCCTGGGCCCCACATGGGCGCGCGCCATCCGCTCTCACAGAGGCCATCACTCACTGCTGCAGGGCAGGGCTTCTCATCAGAATGTTCCAGCCACATGTGAAACATACACATTCCCAGGCCCCAGCCAGATTTGGGGGGCGGAGGCTGGAATCAGGGTTGTACCAAGACCCTCTGAGGTCCACCTCTTGGGAGCATTGCCCCGGGACACAGGGAAGCGCCCCTGCCCCCCAAAAGTGACCCAGAGGAGCAGACGGGAGCCGGGCTTTGACAGCAAGTGCCATCACCCCCACCCATGACCTTTGGGCCAAGGACTCCCTCTGCCTGAGTCTCAGTATCCTCACCTGGGGTCACAGGATACAGCACATATGAAGTGACATGACGCACACAAAGTCCATGGTCCCTGGGACATAGGAAGTGCTCCATACACGATCCTGCTGTTAGTAAAAAACCCACCCCCAGTGTGTCCATGTGCTCGCTCCCAGCCCCCAACCAGTAGGTCCCTTAGTCTTCCAAAGTGGAAGAAAAGGGAGTGAAAACACCACCCAGATGTCTGTCTGTCCCAGTGACAAGTAAGCATTTCCTCTGTGCGGCTTTTTCTCATCCACTGTGATCGTGGTTTTGGTTTTTTTTTTTAATTAGGTTAAATGATGTCAACATCCAACAGCATGAGCCAAATCAGTGTGAGGCTGAAACATACACACTTAATCACACTTGGGGCGGTGACATGGCTCCCTCGGGGACTTTGCTGCGAACGTCAACTAGCCAAGCAGGAGCCCCTGGGTCAGTGGAAAGATGTCTAGGCTGAGCACCAGAGTTCTGGATCCAAGGTCCCATTCTGCTCTAGACACGCTGTGCAACCTCAGACAGGGCAGACAATGTCTCTGAGCCCCAATGTCTCCATATTTGAAAAGGCAGCTCTGGACTCCTTTTATCTCAGAGGTTGCCTTCTAGTTCTTCTAAGAACTTTAGAGACTAAAGGACCTCTTGCTCCCTCCCTCACCAAGCCCTTAAAAGGATAGGAAGTCAGAGCTTCTGGGAGAAAAAAAAAAAATAATGAAAGAAATTTCCAAAAGTGGAAACAATTCTCAACAATAAAAGAGGCCTCTTGTCTTTCTCATGATGAGCCCCAGGTCATTTCCTAGAAAGGGAAGGCTGCTCGCTATGTCACAGAGGAGGAGATGGAGAGAAGGGAGACTCCATCTTATAGATGGTCAAGCTGAGACCTCTAGAGACCTCTCCATCGCAGCCTTCACCACACCGGCTTGTGACCACCTGTCACCTGCGGGCGCTAAGAGGACACATTTCCATCCGCCTTATTTGCCTTTGTATCCCCAGAACCTAGCCCAGACCTGACACAGAGCAGCCCCCACTCAGACCAGACTGGGGACAAAGCTGTGGGGCCTGGGATGGATCAGAGAGGACCTGGAGGTCTGGGGGTTCCAGGGCAGCCCTTCTGAACCACCCAAACCCCATGCCCCTTGCACACTCTCTCTCTTTCTCCACTTTCCCAAGGATCCTTGAGGTTTGGGGGCTACAACCTCCGGGCATGGGGGTGGGCATGGGCAGGGGTGAGGTGGGAGGAACTGGGGAGAGGGCTGCCGTGTGCCGGGTGCATGTGGCGTAATTAGCAGCAGACTCCCATCGCGGCGAGAGCAGCCAGATGGCTCCAAGTGGCGCCCAGATGAAAACGCAGAGAGGTTTGAGGGGAATTTCCTGTTTATGACATGCACTGGGCTCCAGCCTTCGCTGCTGGCTGTGAGGTTCACACAGCCACACAGATGGTGGGGGACGGTGTGGGGGAGACCCACCTACCCTGCCGGGTCTCCCTGGCCCTGAGAGCTCCAAGGGGGACGTACCTGCCTGGAGAGACCAGAGGGCATTGGATAGAAAGTGCAAATCCCAGGCCACACATTTGCTGCAACCCAGCTAGGGGTCACCTCTCCAGGCAGCTGCCTCTGCTGCCCCAGGTGGACCCCTGCTCTCACACAAAGGCTCCTGGAACCACGATGGCATTTATCACCCCTGCAGCTGCCTGTCGCTCTCTGATGGCTCTGTGGGGGGAGGGGCCAGGTGTGCCCAGGTTCCTGCCATGTCCCCAGCCCTTGGCACAGGCGCTGGCCCATCACAGGTACTCAATAAATATTTGATGGGAAATCCCAACTGTCCCTGTCCACACACACACACACACACAAACACACCCCTTCCCACCTTTACTCACAGTGTTTCCCACACCCCATCCCATCTCAGCACTGCTCTCCTGCCCCCCAGATCCCCTTCAAGGCAGCATAGCCTCCAGCTCTTCCGGGAAGCCTTTCCGGATGAGACCAGGCAGGTGAGTTACACTTCCCCTGCTCTGAATTTTATGGAGCCAAGTTCTGCCGATTGCTCATTCATTCATTGATTCACTCATCTTACAAAGAGCCACTGGGTTCAAGGTGGTCCAGCCACCACTGGGGCGGAGTGAATGTCCCCTGTCCTCCGGTTGCTGGGAGTCTGGGTGGTTGGTCTCCGCCCAGTCCCTCTTGCTGGGTCCCACGCTCATTCTGTTGCCCTTGTTTCTAAGCAGTCCATCCAGCCTCCTCTGTGATCAGGACCTTCCGGGAGGAGGTCCTTCACCCATTTACAGAGGCCACTCTGATCTTCAGGCATATCATAGACCTTTGTAAGGAAGCTCCAAACGGAAACCCCAAGCTGGAACAATTCAGCAAGAGGGGCCTGACATCAACCGAAGGGACAAGCGAAATATGTGAGCACGGGGGTGAACGCACAGCCCCTGAGCCCGTGAACATAAACCCTGAGACGACTAACAGGTGAGGCTGTCAACACTCAGACACTTCCTATGCGCCACCGTGGAGCTCTGCACTTCCACGTACACTTGAAACTCCTGAAATCCAAACCTGCAAGGCAGGCAGGTCTCCCCGAGGCAGGGGTGATCCGGTCATCTCCCCTTTCGCAGAGGAGAAAACTGAGACCCAGAGGGATGAAGTCATGGCTGTGCACGGGCCACCCAGACACCAGGCTAGGAATCGGCATGAGTTATGAAGATCCAGCCAGGTAAAGACCCCCATGGGGAGCCCCTGGGCAGTTCCTGCCATGCCATTGGCTTGCAATGGGGAGCAGCTTTTCTCTTGGACCGTCAGAACCCAGCTGCAGCCCCCTCCCCTCCTCTGAGCCAGGAGGGGGAGTGAGTGTCCCACTGCCCTACAGCATCCCTGGACGCTCCATTCTCTCACTGTTCCCTCCCTTCCCCCCGACGCGGTTGGCTTGGCCCTGTGTGGATCCTGGCCGGCTGCCCCCGGGAGCCAGAGCCGGAGCCAGGAGCACTTGCAGCTGTCCCAGCTACGCATCAGAACCACAAACAAACATTGTTGCCTAGCAACACCGCCTCGCCCCAGCATCCCCGGGCTGAGTCAAGGGACCAGAGCCACTAGGCACTCTCCCGCCACCATTGCCTGTTCAACTCTTTCATTTCTCAGATGGGAAGACTGAGGCCCAGAGACGGGGAAGTTCACTCAGAGAGCTGGGGGCACGGCTGGGAGGGTACTCGAGGTCTTTTGCCACCTGACGTCACACACAGTCCAGACCCAGGTCTTCTCTGTCCTATACAGTCCTGGGCACAAAGATGCTCAATAAACCCTATAGACTTCAATTTTGAATTCACAACTACAATGCTTTTTTTTTTCCCCAAACAGCAGTCCCACA